TTTTTTCTTTCAAGTATTACTTAAAGTTAGCAAAAGGGCGGATGGTGGTTTCAAGTGAAACTTTAAATTTGATTCAAAGATCCTTCCAACCAAAGTGACGTATTCAATAGTGCTCATGAAACGGCTACGTGTCAGATAGAATCATTTATGTAAGCATCTTGTTGTTGATAGTATGGTTCTTACAAATGTGAGAGATTGTCGCTTACTTTTATGTTTGCTACTTCTTTATTTTATGCATGCTCATTTTGTGCATTTCAGAATAACTAAACTTATTTCTATATCGTCAAATTATATTTTTAAGCTAATTATGCGATATTTTACTGTAGTATTTTGTTGTAGTACTTCCGGTTTGCATTGTTTGTTGGGTTTATTTTTCAAATTTTTTGATGGATAGAAGTTGATGGTAAACGAACGAATAATTAATCCTGGTTTATTTATACAGTTGAAGTGATGGTTATGAATTACTTCTTAATTGGCCGCATCTCAAGCTTCTAGGCAGTATTTCTTAAAATATATTGTTTCGTCCTTACTCATGCATTTTAATAATATTTTATTTAATATTCCCCTGAATTTTCCGAATTTTCTCATAACACCACTGTTGCTTGCTAGATGCTGTTTCATTTGCTCCTGCTCTCAGTACAATAACAACCTTAGTCGTGTTGCTGTAGGTATTGCTGCTGATTTGCATAGTGCAGTTTTCTCTTGTTCATTTATATTAATATTATCACTGCTATAGAATTATTTTTTGCTAAAGTAGTGCAAAATGTTTCACTCCTTCAATTATTGATATAATTCTTTATCAGGATTTAACTTTGATTGGTTTGCATTAATGTTTTGAGTAGTATACTTAGAAATTGGTATGATTTTTGTTAATTTAATTCTAAAATATTGGAAGGATATTTTTCTAAAGTGAATTTCATTGTCATGTATTGGTTTGTGCTTCCTTTGGCCTTTTTTAAATATTAGTCCATAACTGTGCATATTTTTTTTATAAAATTTGTATTTTGAAAATGATCATTTATGTCTGTGCATGCAGCTGTTAACTCAGTCTTTTTTGATCTAAGTCAAATCGTAATCAGTGATTTTGTCACCAACAAAGGAATACGTGTTCATTTTCCATTAAAACAGGTAAAGTACGTATTTTTAGCAAACCTGGACATTTAAGAAAGATTTAAATGATGGGGTTCCTCAGATTCCAGTCGCAAGCGCATGTTTTGTATGTATCCAGCATGTAACATCCTCATCATAAAAATAACTCATTTTTGATTTGTCATAATAGTAATACATCTGGTTTTATTTATTGTCAGTGAAAATATTGTGACAGATTTGTTCTTAGAGTTTTTAAGGATTTATTTCTGTTCCTATTATCTTGATTTTGAATTCAGTTGTGAACAGTTTCATTTTTCCATTCTTTCTTGATCATATGTGATTTTTTAAATCCGCTGAAGATTATGGCCATTTCGAATTCCTTCCATAAGATATCTTACATTTATTATTTATAATCTTTTATGATTTTCTTAATTCGTTGTTCTCTGTGGTGTGCAGCTTTATGATGTCTGTGCCATATGGTCAGCAGTGCTTTTCAGTTTCTAGTGATAATGATGAATGCTGCCCATTCGTCCATTTTTTTGCCGTTTTCGAGACTAACGAACCCTCAGATTATTGACAAGCATTGCTAGCATTACCCGGATGAAGTTGCTTTCAAATACAGCATCGATAACGATTAATTGACCTCAGTAAGCTAGACATTATATTTTCTTTGTTTTTTGTATATTAACTTAACTGTTTTTGTTATATGTCTGTGATATTATTGTTTATTGTTTTATTAGTTCTTCATTATAGCTGTCGTTTTAAAGAATTATATGTGATTTCGCTATTTGATAAGATTTGCTTTATACTTACTTGATTTATGGTGTTTGTTTTTATAAAGTTTGTTTATGACTTGTTTGTAGCAAAAAGATCAAGATAGCAATAAAGTTTGGTGTTCGTTTTGAAATGAAATTTGTGATATTCGGAAAACATAGTTTCTAGCGTGATGGAAAATGGGAAGATAGATACTGTCATATGGCGTCAATTTATTGAATCCATGCTTTTTTTTCTTGGTGTGGTCTGTTCGGATCACAAAAGACAAGCTTGTCATTTGACACGTTTTAAAGAAAACAACGTAATGCACGACAAGAGTCTAGAGCGGACCTCGTATTTGAGGTCATCAGTAACCAAATTAGTTGATTGGAAAGTTTGGCTTGAAGCATGACCACTAAATTTAATAAAGCATAATATGTTTAGGTCGGGCGCGTTAGTGATAGAAGAGTTGATAGAAGAGTAGTTTTAAGCCTAAAATTTCCCGTGAATGTACTGAAAGTCGTTTTTGGGAGAGATTCGTATATCACGAGATGTTTATTGAAAGATGAATTTCTTCGCTTTTCAGTAGTAACGACCGTAAAGTGTAGTGGTGTAGTTTCTGGTGCGAAAGGGGGTATAGAGGTAGCGTGGATAGTCGTCGTAGTAAGTGAAGTATCTTCGGTAGTAGAATGGTGAATTGTAGTCGTACCTGAAATTTTTAAAAATAATTTTTCTTTAAATTCAGTATTGATAAAAACTAATGAATTTGTAGTAAAGATTGGAAGATTGCAATTTCTGGATGCTTCAAGACTCTTACTAGCACTCTGTCATAATCCTGTTCTGGAAAATGGTGTTAGATGACAAGAGTATGTTTCTTCTATTACGATCCCTGTTCTATCTGCGAATTTTTATAGGATAGTTCCCGTTCTATTTCACCGTTACTAGTATATTAGGATAAATTTAGCTCTTTCAGAACCCATCTGTAATGGAATGTGATAGAAAGTCCGAATCGATGAATGCATATATAATTAGTTCGTTATCTTGCACATTTAAAAACACTAATAATTTCTTTAAAACAAAAATTACCAAAATCCTCTATGTTTTGCCCATGCAGTATATGGTCCATTCCAGTAGTGTGGATTGGGCATTACATCCGGATGATAATAACGATGTGGATAGTACGAACTTTTGTAAAGTGGTCTGAATCCACTGTAACGATCATACCAAAAGTCATCATACTGAAACAACAATTTCAATGATATGTGACATTCGTAACAAACACGAAAAAAATTCCTTACGAAATTAATTCACTTTAAATTTAATTGCAACGAAAAATTTTATTCTTACAAAGTCATAGTCGGGCCAGAATGTATATCCCCATTGAGGCTTGTATTTGCTGCTTTTTCTTACATAATTCACAAGATCTGGCACAGATTTTGCGCGTGTTACCTGCAAATTTAGAATCAATGAACTTCAATAAACAACTAGCTGCTGATTTGATAGACTAAAATGCGTATAAAGAACCAAAGACCTTATAATTAAATTTTTAAAGGAAATATTTTTCGATCAGTTCCATTCAGCAAAATGAATGTTATTTCAAATATTTATTGTCAAATTTTTAATAACCACCAAAAAACAAAAAAAAAAAAATTACTAATATTCTGGGACGATGTGAATGAAGAAGCGTCGTCGATTGCGCTCGGGACAAACCATAACTATAGTCGCCCATCGTTTCGATGTCAGAAGTAAGATTTGATCGTAACGACTCCACTTTCTCGGTGTTATTGAGCGATCTTTACTATCGCTTATTATTCTGCCGTCAACTTTTAACTCATTTTTTTTAAATGAAAAACGAATAGCTTTGTTGCTGTTTCTGTGTATGCTCTCTATGCTTCCTACTATTTTTAATTTGTTCGAATTGTGTCTGTTGAATTGAATGGACGGATAGACGCATTCTTTCCAGTTTTCCCGTGTGAAAGCTATATGTATGTGTGGTCTGTTCCTCGAGAAGCATAGAAGTTACAGGAATTGCATTGAACCGAAATAGCTACATCCTCTTAGAGTTTATTGAATGAACGATGATGCATACTGGAAATAATAGCTGTAATAGAAAAGTTCAACAGTGCTGCTCCTAAAGTCAAACGGATTCCAAACACTTCATTTATTTGTATTGTTTAAGAAATGATAAAATATTTTGCACTTCATTCAAATATAAAAAATAAGAGCCAATCAGTTATTGCAAAATTAACATTTCAATCAATTTTCATTTCTTGAAATAATCCCAAATGATGAAGTGCAAATATAAAAAATATTTATCAGAAATTCATTTTGAAGATTTTGTTACCCTCTTATAAAGTACCAAAAACTGAATGAAATTGGCATTCCTTCTTCCTTTCATTATTTTTGATTTATGATATCGATTGCTTGACAATATGAATTGATCTAAATAGTATTGTTTTGTGAAATTTTAAAACTTGTAAATGTTAGAATCGTAACACTGATAAGAGACATAATTGAGAAACATTTGATTCAAATTTATTTGTAAAAAAAAATTGACAACGTGAAGCAATAGCCGTAAAAAAAAGGAATGCTAGAAGGAAATAATAAAGAAGGATAAGAAAGGAAGTTTTAGTTAGATTTTAATCTTAACAGTGGATTATGGCATAAAATTGCAGCAGTCACGAGGTTCTTCCAAGAGTTATGATGAATCTCGAGTATATGTTACATTCATTCATCTGTTTATTTTCGCAATTGTGATTTAAAATTTTCCACGATCCTGAATTTTCACTTTTTAGATGAGTAAATGATTTTAAAATTTAAATTCAGATTTTGCGAAATAATTTTTAATTTCAGAAGAATTAGTTTTGCATTAAATCTGTAAAAACTATAACTGACGATAATTTTGAATTTTTTATTAAATATTAATTTTTTTTCTTAAACTATTTGTTTTTTCTTACGGATTTTTTAAGCTATTAGAAAAACTCATAAATCTTTTTCTTAAGCCATTTAATATAAGATCTATATTTTGATCTATCTGCTGACTGCAATTTAAGAAATTTAAGTCAGCTAGTATCGTAATTTTGAATTGTTGGCCGACAATATTCCTGGAATATCAAATTTTCAGAAAAATTAGAATGAAATTGATGATTTACTGCAGTCGGCAGTAAATGCATTTCGATCCAGTTCATTTGTTATCAGTAAAATAAAATAAATTGTACTATTGACTTGATAAATTTCAACAAAAATTTGATCATTCAATCACATTGCTAATTGAAAAAAACATATGAAAGTGTTAAAAGGACTTTTAGAAAAACTTTTTCGATCGGCGTTCTTGAACATCATTCACTGAATGATGATGAAATTCGTTATAGCAGGCTTCTTTTTACACTTTTTAATCAATGTTAAATTATTCTATACCGATCATGATAGATCGATCACTTTATTGCCACACTGAAAAAATAGAACTTACATAAATTTATCACTTTGTATTATCATTAATGACAATTACAGATTACAATTTTGAACAAAATCAGGTTATGTATTAGAAATTATTAAAATCAGCTGCAAATAATTAAATTTATAACAAAATTCACAACCTTCTTAAAGGTATATTTGTTGTTAGACACAAGTCAATTTGTCGCTGAGTATATATCAATGTTTTATGATTTGGAAATTTTGAGCAACTAGCTTGTATAATTTTAGTGCTTAAACACATAAATAGTTAGCTGATCTGGATTTTTTCCACGATTACTTGTACTGGAAAAAAAATAACAGCTATAAAATCATTAAATATATTTTTTTTGATCGAATTTTAGCATTATACCGAAATATCCCAATAATTAAGAGTTTATTTTCAATGTCATTTCTCGATTCTGCAAACAAGAACAGAAATTGAACTCATTGACATTACCTATAACATATTAAAATGGGAGGAATACATCTTTTTGATGTTGATTGATTTAAAAATTTTTAAAAATTTTGTAAATTGTTAGAAATTCTAAATTTCTCACAAAATTTTGAATTGATATCTGGGAATCAATAAAATGAGAGAAAATTTAATTGATTGTAACTACAGAAAGCGCTTAAATGTTAATAGTTCTAAAATATTTAAAGCTAACACCTGTAATTTCGATGAAGCTCATTTCCTAGAAATTATGTTACTGCTTACTGGACAGGATAATTCAATTTTACCGTTGATTAGGATTGGCACGGTTTGCTATTTCTATTGAGATAGATGGATTATGAAAGAAGTGCTGTGTCATTTTGATGCGCATTTCACATCGCGTTTCCTTTTTGATAATACTTCATTATTTGCTTTACGATTGAAAATAGCAGTTATTTTAATATTAATCTAATACATATGTGCATTAGGTTCAACATCTTATATCGTCCTATACGCGTCATTAAAAATAGGATGAAAAATTTTGGAGAACATCAGCAAAAGTGACAAAAATGTTCATTTGAAATACTGCTAGATCGAAAAATAGAACTACGTATTACAATGGGTAAAGAAATTGTGAATTAGTTAATATTTTTTGAAATGTGCGATTTTTTCCAATTGAACAATAAAAATAAAAGCATAAAATAGTTTTTTTTTTTAAATTTATTTCCATCACTGAGCAATAACATGTTATGATTTGGAAATGTCAACTCTACAATAATACATAAAAACGGCATAAAGATTAATTTTTTTTTACATAAGAATATTTCTGATCATGAAAATTTTATATAAAAGGAAACAATTACTTGTATTTATTGAAAGATAATAATTGACAAAATTTTGCTCAGTGGTGCACTTTAAAAGATTTGCTGCTAATTTTTAGAACTTAAAGACTAGACTTTCTCAACAAACATTCGGAATTTATTTTTGCTCAGAAGAGAGAATCATTCAACGTCAAATTTCTTTCGCACTTTTTTTACTTGTTTTTTAGTTGGTTTTTCTTTTAAAAATTCCTGTTTTACATTTGCCAAAAAAGAGCTTTCAGCAGCCAGGGACAAATAAAATGAATTTATTCAAACTTTTTACAGTGTAAGAAAAATTGTGTAAAAAGCAGGTAATCTTACTTTTTAATTTGATCAATGCAAAAAAGACAAGTTACAATCTTACTTTTTAATTTGATCAATGCAAAAAAGACAAGTTACAATCTTACTTTTTAATTTGATCAATGCAAAAAAGACAAGTTACACTTTCATTTACTGGAAAACTTAAGTGGAATTTGGTGAGAATTAAAAATGTAACTGCATATTTTACATGATTTAGTTGTACTTGTCATAAGCTGCATGATAGAATAATTGCCTGTATGAAGAAGCATAGGAGAAAAATGTATAAGCTTAACGAAAAAAAAAGAAAAAAGAGAGGAGTAAACGAAGTATTAAATAAAATCAGGGAAAAGGTGAAGAAAAACTCCGAAAAATGTAAGTTTCAAATACAATCACATAGATCAAAGTTTTGGAAATTTTCTAAATTTTCATTTCATCAATGAAACAACAACTTGAAAATGGATACAAGGAAAAATAGTAAAGAAAGTTTAAGCTGAAAACGATATGGTTCTGTTGAAAATTGAAAAACTTTTATTACTTCAATTGAAGTTTCTAAATAATGCAAAGATAAAAGGGCATCAGTGGTTAAAAAAAAGTGGAGAAATTACTTAGTGGAAATGGTGTGTTTTGGTTGTTTTCTGTTAATGAGTGGCATTTTAGAAATAGCATTTTGAAAGGCTTAAAAATGCAAAGAAATTTCAATGAATTAAATAGACCACTGATTTTTAGTCTCAAGACTTAGTAATTTAGATTGCTTCTTATGAGGTACCACATTTCTTACGATCAAGAAATGCATCAATTTCTAAATTTTACAGCCTGAAATAGAGGACATAGTAAATACTTTTAACAAGATAACTGCAGTCAACTTCAGCGTTATTGTCGCCAACTGATTATCTATCCGATCCAATAAACTACATCAGCTAACGGAGCTCCTCACTTGGCTAATCTTAACTTTGCTTATTTCGTTTCAACTGGTATATTATTCACTGTATTTTGTTAATAAGAAAGAATCTTAAGAAATTCTTTGGTTTATAACGTTGAAAAGAAATCCCATTCTACCGTATCAAATCCAAAATTCCGAACCATTTCAAACCAACCAAACCCGAGACAATCCCAACAATCCGCAACAGACAGTGCTCAATTGTTATGATTGCTTTGAAGTAAACAAAATAAAATAAATTTATTTTTTCGACTTTCTAAAAAAATTTGATGAAAAGTTAGCACTGAAGAAATGATTGCAGAATGATAATGGTTTTAAGGTAATTGTTATGGATGAAGCGCGACTGTGCAAAGAGGAAATATATAAATGGTTTCAACGAGTTTGAATTTGATAGATTTTAAGGGCTTTTTGACAATTTAGTACAATTGCATTATAACTGCCATTGGAAGATATTTCAAACGATTTCTACTATTTGGGTTAAGAAACAGAAGAATAAACTTTGTTAAAATTGTTTCCAACAGTTCATTCAATGGTTTTTTTTCTCTTTAGGAACACAATATCCTCAAATAAGTCAAAACTATCCAAAATATAACAATCGAAGAATAAATGAGAACAATAGTTTCAGATTTTTAAACTACGTTGAATTGATATTTGAGACATTTGGACTAGTGACGAACTTTTCCAATTAATGTAAGTATTACTTCCTCCTTCATGTTATCTTTATTGATTCATAGTAACACTTTTTTTGT